AGCAAGGCTCAAGGAGTTGAGATGACCTGCCGGTGGCCACACAGCTGCTGGAACTAGACCTTGGCTCTTCTCGACGTCCATATTCATTCTACCAGACCAGGCCATGTGGCTCAATGTGGGGGAGGAGAAGGAAGGAAAGGGAGCACTGGCACTCAGGAAGGTTCCCCAGTGGCCTCCAGGGTCCCCAGCCATTTTCAGGTGCCGTGATTAATGCTCAGACCACAGGGAAGGTGAAAGCAAACAAGCATCTGTGTGTAGGTAACAGGTCCCAATGCCTCACTTTACAGCATCACCAAGTCAATAAAAGGTAGTGAGGGGATCACACTGTTCCAAAGAAAATGCCACCATGAACACCTAGAGGAAAGCTTCTTTAAGGCTTTAAAGAAGCTGTACCTCCCTTAAAGATCAGTGCCTCCCACTGATCATGGTGTGAATGTGAGTCTCCTACACTGCTTGTTTAAAGCAGCAGGGTAGACTGACCAGACAAAATACAAGCTGCCCAGTTACGTTTGCATCTGAGACAAACCATGCATCATAATTTAATATTAGCATGTTACATTCAAGATTCGGGACCTCCTCCTTTAACTGGGCTGACTCTGGTCCCCCTGCCCCAGAGCCTGGTTAGGCCTGAAGCTAGTGAGTTACTGCAGCCAAGATGGGCTTCATTTTGACTCCAGTGTTTGGCCAGGTGAATGTTTTGACCCTATAGAGATTTTTGCTTCCGTGTTTCTATTTATATTTAGCAAAATTTTAAATAGACAATACGCCTGCATTCACTAATTTCCACTGGGCAGACATTTTCCAGAATAAATTAAATTAAGCCAGTTTAACGTGTTGATGCTGTTGATACGTCTTCTATATGATGCAATTAAACTATTTCTCTTTTATCATCTTTATTTTCATTTTATCAGAGTTGTTTTCATGGGGAACAATTATTCTCTGTTTAAATTTCCCAACACAGATTTAAGAAATAAAAATTGGGATTTTTATTTTTTATATTCGGTCCATATCAAGTTTTATCAAATACTACTCCTTGCTGTCTTGAGTTTTCGTTTATGGAATTATTTCTATTAAGTCCAATTTTCCCAGGTCATCATTCACAGTTATCAACAAGATCCTCAGTGTGTTTTTCATTTCTTTAGCAATTTTATCACGTTCAGCTTCAGCCATGATCATTTCATAGTAATTGTTTTGTCAACAATTACATGCACAATTGTAAGAGTGACCATTTGTATTTCTTAGCTAATCCATGAAAAAATCAAGAGAGAGTCCTTTCAGAAGTGTTGGCATTGCTCTAATTCAGTGCGTACACAATAGCCTCCCTTGGTAACACCCACAGCCCCCTCCAGAGGTTCTTATTTAATCAGCTTGATGTAGAGCCCAGACATTGGTATTTTTAAAGTTCCTAGGCCATTTTTGTGTGTGTGTACGTGTGTCCAAAACTATTTATTTTATTTAATTGACTTTAGAAAATCTGTTTAATAACAGGAGTTAAGAATGTAGATTTATTTGCCAGATGGACATCATAATAAATTTGACAACTAGAGTCACTATGATAAAATGAATACATTATGTTGGCAGGATTAGACTTTCCTAGGCCATTTTAAGACAGCCAGAGGGTTGGAATGCTGTTCTAAACATCCAGAATGGCTCTGTCCAACACAGTAGCCAATAGCCACATGTAGTTAATCAAACAAAGTAAAATTGTAGTTAATCAAAAATAAGTAAAATTTAAGATTTAGTTTCTCAGTTACCCTAGTCAACACAGATACAACACTGTCATCATCTCAGAGAGTTCTAGTGGGCAGCATTGTTCTGGAGTCGGGGTCAGTGGCTTTTAGCACAGACCAAACAAAGCAAACCCCTGGCATCTGAGGAGTTGGTGATGCCACATTGGCCCTGCCCTGAATCAATTAAATCAGGACTTCCACTGGACCTAGGCACTGGCATGTACAAAAGCTGCCCAGGTGACGCCGTTGTGTGGCCTGGATTAGGAACTCCTGGGGTGAACATCTTAGCAGCCAAAACACCCAGTCGGGGACCAGAATCATCTCCCCCAGCTTCCCCTGAAGTTGGCTCAGAGGTCCCTAAGTCTTAGGGCTACCCCTCTGGTGGGTGGGTGCCAAGAGGCCCAGAGGCAGCTCCTAGACAGAGGCTCCCTTCCTGAAGTGTGGAGGGCTTCTCTGGTCTGGTCTAATGCAGTCACCCAAACACTGCCAGAGGTCATCAGGGAAAACACAGAAGGGCCAAATACCCCAGAAGCCACCAGAAGAGAGAGAGAACGCGGGTGGGAACTGAGGAGGAGAAAAAAATGAAAGGGGAGCCGGAAGGAAAAGAAGCAAAATAGACTTGTGGAGACAGAGGTTTGGGGAAAGACTTGGAAGGAATGAGGAGGCGTTGCCGGGACATCTAGAAGCAGATAGAGGGAGAAGAGGCTAGGCAAAGGTGGGCAAAGAGTTAACAACCGCCCATGTGAACTCACAAGACATCCCAGGACCCCCAGAAATGAATGGGTGGCTGCATGGCACCCCACTTGAAGACAGCAACAGTCACGACCAGCCCCAACCCCGTGTCACTATTTGCTTCCTGACAGTGACAACTTGCGGGCAGGGAGGAGGCATTTACTTTAAAAAGCTCATTGAACTGAATTCTCCAATAATCTTGCGTTTTCTTTCAAAACTTAACATGTCACTTGTTTGTTCTTGTCACGTCTTGGTATATTTTTTATTTAAGTAGTTTTAGAATTTTAACGTTTCTAGTCCCTGATTCTTTTCTCACATTTCATGTGTAAGGTGAAAGTACGTTGTGGTGTAATCATGGGGCATCACAGAACTCCCTGCAGGTACCCTGCCCCCAGAGGCTCCATACTAAATGGCTCTGGAGATGGCCCATTAGCTCCCAGCACAAGGCCAAAATTCAACCCTTTCCTCCCAGGACAGTGTTGTTTTGGCAGCCTCTGATATTCTTCAGGTATTTAGGAATGTAAGTTTAAATTTCAATTCAGTTTAAGTAAAACTTAATTTTTAATTGCTAGAAATCTAAAATTGAGAGGTGTTCAGAAAAATTAAAAATTACATCCAGCAGTTATATCAGAAAGAAGTTTCTGCTAAATTGGTAAGTTTAGTGAATTAGCACTTCAGCATGTCAATGTCTGAGAAACTGACTTCCAGCAAGCTAGCCCTGCAGTCAACTGGTCTTGCAGGAACTGTTGTTGAGTGAGCCAGCTCCCCCCCACCAGCCAGAAGACACCCACAAGAGCCCCGAATTTCAATGCATCCTGCACCCAGGTAACTTCTGACCCGCAAGGATAGCCCATATGTGGCCCTGACCCACTGTCACCCTGAGAGCCAGCCTGGCCCTTGAATTGATCATAAATATGTTCATAGCTCCTGCTCTCATCCTGCCTCCCTGGTCTTAGAAATCTCCCCACAGGAGAGAAATCTCCCCACAGGGCCCGTAAAAATGCTGAATATGATAATGAAAATGAAATGTGTGTTTCCTCTGTGTGCCCCGCAGTAACTAACTGTCTTGCCTACCCCTCAACTAAGCTCTCAACTTCAACATCATCAGGGGAACCGAACTCTCCAGAAGGGTCCAGCACCCACTGGGGGTTTCCAGGGGCCTTTGAGAGGTGCAAGGGGCTCAGAGATTGACATGTCCAGCGTGTTGTAAAAACCTAACCTCCAGTCCCCACTCCACCATCACCATCACTAGCCTTTAAGAAAATTACTCAATCTCTTGGAGTCTCAGTGTCCCCATCTGTGAGGATGACAGTGTACAGTAGTAGCTAACTGATTGAAAAAGTTCTTGTATATAAGACTCAGCACAGGGCCAACCACTTGGCTAGGCTTTTGGCAGATATCAGTTGTATGGTTTTGCTATTATTATCCTTGGCCTGGCAATGGAGACATCCCCAACACCAGCAGTCCAGCCCCACTGCTCCCTTCTCAATGGGCCACACATGTCGTTAGCTGGGTCCCACCTGTAAGATCCTCATCTGCCTTCCTTAGGTTCCTGAATCCTCCTCTTCCTTTCCCCTGCTCTTGTCCCCCAACCTAGAGAACATAGGCTTCCAGGCCTCAGACACCAGCTGACCCAGTTTCCAAACAAAGGCTCCCCTGCGAGTGAGTCACAGAACAGAAAGCTCATGGCCGGCACTTATGCCGAGACCTCAATAACTAGCACAAGCAGCACTGAATACAGCACACCCTGTCACACCTGCAGGGGCCACTGAATACCTGCCATGACATCCAAACTACATCACATGCATCTCCATGGCTTGTGTCTCCCAGCCCACCACCAGCCACCACCACCCACCACCACCAGCAGGTCCATCAATTTGCAGGTTGGCCTGGTCCTCCCACCCCATCCTGTACATGGCCCAAGAGGTCAATGGCAAGAGAAAGGACCCATTTTCTGCCTAGAGAGCCTACTTTTGCCACCATACTTTTGCTCCACCTATTCCCCCCACTAGGAAACCCTCCCCACCAAGTGCATGAAATACTCAACAGAAAGTCCACTGCAGGAAAGTGCCCAGTCAAGGTTAGCCAGGTTCTGACTTCTAAACTACAAATCTCACCTCGAGTTCTACTTCTCCCACAAAGCCTTCCTCAATAGCTCCCTGCTAGTTGCTGCTTTGCTTTTCCTGCCTGACTCCTGGAGGTGCCACTGCCCTCACCAGCCCAAACTGGGAAGGGAGAGACAGCCTGCCCCAGGAGCCTCTGGGCTGCAGCAGCCGGAGGTGAGCCTTCCTGCTCCCTGGGGCACATACTGTCTTGGCAAATGTCAAGCCCATCTTCCCTCCACTGCAGCCTGGGCAACTCAGCTTTACCCACAGCCAAGTTCCTGAGGCCATAGCTAGGCTTCTCCCTGCATCTACCATGGGACTAGAAAGGCAATCCTTATAAGGGCTGAATTGAAATCCCAGCTCTCTGAGGCCCTGATTCTGCAGTTCACATGTACCTGCACCTTCAAGCCACAGAGCCCCCAGCCCACCTCACCTGTTCCTCCCCATCGTCTCATGATCTTTGACCACCACGTGAAGTTCAGAACCCTGGTCCAGGGGGATGCCCTTAAGGTCCCACTCAAAACCCTGGAAGAAAAGGAGAAAAGGCATCTTAACCTATGGCCCCTAGGAGAAGAGACTGCACCTGGTTCACCCTCATGCACTGAATAGAGCTTGGGTGGAAGGACGGACAGATGGAAGAATGGATGGATGGATGGATGAATAGATGGATAGATGAGTACCAGAGCTCCAGAGCCTCGGTGGTGACAGAGCTAAAAGCAAAATGGAGAGAAAGAGGGCAGACTCTAACAGCCCCCTCTCCCAAGTCAATTCCAACCGACCCCTAACCAGGACAGGAACAGGGCTGGGAAAATGCCAGGTGACCCCGCAGGATTCCCAGGGACTAAGATCATTGTGTTCATCCAGAAGCCAGGCCCCTGGTGGGCAGCACAGTTTAGTGCCACTTTTGGTACTACCTACCCACATTTGGGTAGGCCCAGCCGGAGCCCCACGCCCCTCGTCAGAGCAAAGGCTTCCTTGTGCATACCCCACCCCATCCATGCAAGGCAGTCAGAGCTTGCAAGCGACTACCAGTGAGTTCTATTTTCAGGGAGGTGGTTAAAGGGACAGAAGCCAACAGCCAGAAGAGGACCTGGTTAATCAAGGAGGGCTGTGGGAGGAGGTGAACTCTGGGCAGGGAGAACAGCCTGTGTGAGGGAGACAGGCAGGCAACAGAGTCCTAAATACCCTCCATAGGCTAAGACAACTGAGAAACAGAGACAAAAAATGCCTACTTCTCTCCATTTACTTGGCGGACCAGGCCACAACCCTCCTCCCAGGTCCCTAGAGCTAGGAGGACTTAGCTGGCACTCTGCTCCCTCCCGCTCAAGGACACCACTGAGAAAGCCACCTTCTCCATAAGCCCCCTAACTTCTCCATAAGCAGAGACAATGGCAGCAGAGAGAAAGAAAAGGAGGGAGAGTGAAAAAATTCACAGACCTCATTCCACACGGGGTTCACGCTGTTCTTGATGACTTTGGTTCTCTTCTTCACCCCTACAAGAGACACAAAAGGGAAAGTGGAAGGACACGTCATACCCTGCCCCTTCCTCAGAAGCAAATTCGGCTTCTGAGACACACACTTCAGCTTAGCCGTCTAAGGAAATCTCATAAAACCAACAAATTCCCTGAGAATCCCACCAGTCTGCAGTGAATGCCCAGGGCCAATCACACAACCTCTGTCAGCTGCAGAACCACGAAACAGCCAATCAGAAAGATGGTTCTAAAAGAAAACACGCAGACCCTCCTTAATGAGTTTGCTATTGTTAGCTTTGGCTCTGTAAATAAAATTTTGTAATTGTAAATATTCTGATTCTAGAAATGAATAGTCTTCCTAGAAAATACTTTATTTTCCTTTTGAAAGCACCCATCTTGGGCGGCGCCTGCGGCTCAGTGGGAAGGGCGCCGGCCCCACATACCGAGGGTGGCAGGTTCAAACCTGGCCATGTAAAACTGCCACAAAAAAA